TGGAGCTTCATGATCCTTGAGGTCCCTTCCAACCCTGGCCATTCTGTGATGATTCTGTGATTGTATGACAAGGAGTAGTTCTACGCACTGGCGGTGGATGGGTCCCTGGGCAGCCCCTCACCGCCCGCTGCTGTGGGCAGGGCAGGGCAGGACATCCCCCTCCCACGAGCTGCGTGTCGCCCATCCCCGCACCGCCCGGACCCAACACCAGCGGAGCGGAGGGTTTGCGGGGCCGCCCCGCCGCGCCGTGCCCGCACGCATCGGCTTCGGGTTGGGGCCGCCCCGCGGGGCGGGCAGCGCCGGGACCCCCCTCCCTTTCTCTCCCTTCTCCTCCCCTCCCCGCTGTGTGCGGGCGGAGCGCGGAGCGGCGCATGGAGGGGCAGCGCTGAGCCCGGCCATGGAGCAGCACCTGCGGCGGCTGAAGCAGGAGCTGGTAGGGGGCGGCGGGCGGGGGGCGAAGCGGGGACACGCGGGGCCGGGGGGAGCGGCGGGGCTGTCCGCAACCGGCGGGGATAGCGGGCGCTTTAAAAAGGAAAAAGAAGCGGCTGTCAGCGAAGATCGGGAATCAAAGAAGCGTTTGTGGGAGCGTGCGAGAAGAGTAAGTTGGCAGGAATCAGAATGATGCGAAGAAAGCGTGCGGTTGTCAGCCGTCAGACGTATTTGGAAAAATACCTCTTCTTCAATAGGAAAGCCTTTGTCGTAAATCAGCGCTGTTTTCTCGCTCGGATTCGGATTGTAACGTCGCTGCTAGAACTTGCTGGGGCTTGTCTGCGAGCCGGGCATTGTTGGTGCGCGGGGCTTTGCTGGGGATGGAGCAGCGGGATGAACTGCTGCGTTATGGATCGTCTTCGGAGGTTTGTCTGGCGAGCAACGCAGCGATCCGATAAATAGATAACGAGAACAAAAGGGGAAGACGAGGCAAAGCAGAACGGGTAGGGGAAGTTTCTGGTGTAGGGCTTAACAGGATGGTGATTTCGGATAGAGTTCTGTAACAGAGGCTTACCCACGGTTTTCCTATCCTTCATGAATTACAGGAAGCGTTTCGTGTATAAGCAACAGTGCTGAGTCAATAGAGAGACATGCCGAGGTCCACTGGAGCCTCAGCACATTGTAACCTGGAAGGTCTTTAAAATCTGAGCAGGCTGGAAGGTGGATTAAATGAGTAGCGTCCAAAAGAACGTGCCTAGAATAACATCACTAACCCTGCATTTTGTCTTAGCAGTGCATACATCTCATTCTCTGAGCAGCAGTATTGTCACTTTGAAAACTTATTTCAGCCAGAAATTCCCATCTTGGTGCTGCTCAGCACAGCCACGTCAGGGTGCTCCAAAAGCACTGCTGTCATCAGCGATGCCAGCAAGCAGTGATTTACTGGAGGTGGGAGGTCTGTATTAATTAAAATAACTGTAAGTGATATCCTCAGCAATAATAGCTTTTAAAAATCAATACTGTCAAGATAGCCTGGAATTAAAATAGATTAATGTTTCTTTAAAGAGCGGCAAGCAGGGCAAGAGACAGCTGGGGCCATCTGCGCTCAATGGCGAGTGGGAACGGAGCCTCCTGACCCTGCCTTCCTGCCACTTTCTTCATTACATGGCAGGTCGTGCCTCCAGACATTAAATGCACCAGAACCAAGATTCATGTGGGAAGGACTCAGTTTGTTTGCGCCGCCAGATAGAGACAACAGCTGCCCCCCGTGCAGCTAAATGGGAACCTGGTCAGAGAGCATCGTCCTGAGTTCAGATCCAGGGATCTGCAGTGTGTGCAGGATATGGTCAGGGGAGGAGTACTGATGGGCTGTTGTGTGGGGCAGCTGTGCACCTGGAGGAGCTGGGCAGCACAAGGCAGAGGTGTGAGGCCTCCTGACCTGCACAAGTTTGTTCCAGTTTCAAACATCACAGCTGTTTGCTGGTTTTGAGGTTTTATTTTTTTTTTTATTTCTATTTTTATGTTGGCACAGCTCCCGGTTCACAAGGAAAGGTTATCTTCCAGTGCAACTCTATCCCCCATTAGTGTGGGATTCAAAGATTCCAGCTCTGATAATTATTTTTTGTCCCTGTTTTGTGTATTAAGACAGTATTGAAGTGACTGTGTGCCTGGCTGAGGCTGCTGTGCCTGGATATCCCAGCACAGCTGTGTGCTGAGCTCACGCAGCCCTTTGCCAGACAGGGCACAGAGCAGCATGGGTCCAGGCATGCACACCCAGCCTCGGTGTCAGGCTCTGGGAATGCCCCCCAGGCCTCTCACAGCAGCTCCTGAAGATAAATTTGGCCCATTTCAGTCAATGAGAGCGCTCATATTCCTATTGCATGTTTTCCATTGTAAGCCGATAGTTTCTGGCATGTGTGGTGTCCCTTTGATTGGAATTCATTCAGAAGCTTCCACTCACAGGCACTATGAAGCCAGGCACAGCTCAGCTGACACAGCCATTCATCACAGCCACACGTGAGCCCAGCTTGGAGCTCCTGATGCTGTGGTCTCATCCCAGTGCTGGCACCGACCTCAGGAGCAGCTCAGCACCCGCTGGGTCAGCTCACTGCCCCTCAGCCTGTGCATATAAGGTACAGAGACTTTGTTCACCTCTTCTAGTCTGTAGGGCTGGCATGGAGTACATCATGCTCTGCCACTCCTTCTGGCATCTGTCCTTCATATGGCAGTCATGAAACCTGCCACAGCACTTACGCAACTTCCATTAATGCAATTAAACTAAATACCAAAAGACTAGCAGCCAGACTCTGAGTCTGCAAAGATCCTCCTGAGGCACAGAAGTATCTCAGCTTTTTGAGCTGCTGAGTGTTATCTCACCAGCAGTGTATGAGCATATAGCTGGGCATCACCAACCAGCTGGGCACAGGGAAGGACGCCGGTGTCTGGATGTCTTACTTAACAGCAATAGGATGGGAGGTGGCGGCCTTAAGTTGTGCCAGGAGAGATTCAGATTGGTTATTAGGAAACATTTCTTCTTAGAAAGAGTGGTGATGCGTTGGAACAGGCTGCCCGGGGAGGTGGTGAAGTCACCAAGAAAAGGGTGGGTGTCACACTAACATGGTCTGCAGCACTCACAGGCATGGTCTGATGGTTGCACCCAATGGTTTTTAGTGCTCTTTCCAACCTTCATGTGTCTAAAGGTGCCCCACCTGTGTCTGCAGTGCTTGGGTGAGGCTCTGCAGGGCTGCAAGTGTTCACCTCTTCCTGTGGCACCAGGTGCTCTGTCAGTTCCTCCAGTTCAGCTCGCTTCTAAACTGATCTCAGTGCTGCAGCTGGTTGGGTTTTCCAACTGTTCTTTGCTTCTTAGTATTTCCTCTCCCAGTAAATAACTTCTCTATGCATAAGGCTGTGGGCATCAGGCTTTCTGAGGTCCCATGTTCCGAGCTGAGTGTTGCAGTTGATGTCACACAAGGAAGGGATGCCATCAGATGGACCTTGATGCACTCGAAAGGTGAGTCCATGTGAACCTAATGAGGTTCAGCAAAGCCAAGTGTGAGATGTTGCACTTGGGCCAGGACCATCAGGTGTGTATACAGACTGGGAAACCCCTTGAGAGCAGCCTTGCCAAGGGGTCCTGGTAGATGGAAAACAAAACTGGAGCCAGCAGTGTGTGCTTGCAGCCCTTCCAGAATTTCATTTGCACGTCTCATGCTGCAGATGGCATTACCTCTGTAAACTTAATGACTCAGAGATTGTTTGCATTTATACATAGTAACATCAGCGTAGTACAATGGGATTGGGATTTCCAGGCTCCTTCACAACCAGAAGAATAAATCACTTGTTATTTCTGGCTAGGGGCTGCTATGTCCATGGGGTAGATTTATCTTGCATTTGGGGTTTGTGTGGCTGTTGGGTGAGGGCTCACAGTCAAGTTGGCCAGAGCTGCAGCTTGGATCTGAGCACCTTCATCTTTCTTGGCTTTCTCTTGTTTTTTGTTTTTGTTTTTGTTTTTGTTTTGTGGTTTTGGTAGAAATTTAAAACAAGAAAAAAACCTCCTGACTTGAACTTCTGAATGTCCTCATTGCACTTGCATTATAAATGCATCATATTATTGAGTTTGATGGAGAGTCCAACTCCCTCCTTGTATTAATGTACATCCTGGTAGACAGAGTTTCTTGCTATGAATATCTTATAGGAATAGAACATTTGTTCTGTGTGAAAATTACAGCCAATTATTTTGTACTGTCTCACACTGGGTCCTATTCTGGTAACTGTCACACTCAAAAAGGATCCTCTGTGCCTTCGTTAGTGCTGTCCCAGAAGGAAGGTCCAGCAGAGCAGGTGTCAGTGATGGGCACCAAGGCCTGGGGTTGTGCAGTGATGTCAGCAGGTAGAATCACAGCAGCATTTGTACTGATCAAAAACTCAGTCCCTTACAGGTTCCATCACCCCTGGGAGTGACGCCTGGGAGGTTATGGCAGAATCCCTCCTTGCTGTTGCCTTGGGGGAGGGCAGAAAGCTCAGGAGCAGGTTTCCTATCATGTATAACCCTGGTCCTGGTCCTCTTATTTCCAGGGAGGACTCCTGAAGATGACTGCATTGGATTTTTGTATTTTTGAAACCACATCTGCATGTATTCAGGAATGTTTATGATACCCCAGTGCAGGCAAACTGCTGGGCTGCAAACTGCCATTACAAATGGCAGTTGCAATTGAATGGAAAGAAGCAGGGTGAGGAGAACAGCTAACTAAGTGCTGTGAACCGTGTCTTCCATGGGTAACATCTGCTTGAGATCTGTTTAACCTCCTGGGAAAACCCTTGGGAAAGTTTCAGCATCCTTCCTTCCTCTTTCAGATGCGTGCTCACGGTTTATACCCTAATTTACTCTGGAAGGAAAAGAGGTTAAGATGACTTGAAATCCATGTGAAGAAATTCAAGGACAGGCAGAACACTGCAGGCTGTAGCATCCAGGGATCACAGCTGGAGGGAAGCTCCCTGCACAGTGCAGACCTGAGCTGGGACAGTTCCAGCTTGCAGAAGATTAATCACAGTGACTCGAACAGAAACGGAAACAATGTGATCAGCTCAGCACTTCTAAAATAATTTTGGTCTCCATTAGGTCACCCCCTCTAAATACCAATTGTTTCTGTCTGGTTCTGTTGCCTATCAGCCCTATTATTACAAGCTGCCATTTGCCTTTTGCTCTTTCCTGTTCCTCTCAGGAATAGCTTCCTCCTGTTGCATTGCTTTTACCTCAGAGCCGGACATCTGTCTTCCTCCTCATTACACAGCCATGCTCAGAGCTCTTCTGCCCCAGTTCCGCCTCAGCTGCAGCCCTGAGCAGGCAGTGCACAGAGCAGTGCACTCACTGGAATCATAGAATGGCCTGGGTTGCAAAGGCCCACAGTGCTCATCCAGTTCCAACCCCTGCTATGTGCAGGGTCACCAACCAGGCTGCCCAGAGCCACATCCAGCCTGGCCTTGAATGCCTGCAGGGATGGGGCATCCACAACCTATTAGATGCTAATAGGAAAACCTTCCTTCCCCGGATGAGCTTAAAAAGTTCATTTATCTGTGGGGTGGGAAACAGCAGCAGGAATCTCCCTTTTTCACACATCTCAGGTATGTGGGTTTGAATTTGTTAAAATGCCAGCACATGTGAAAGGGCTCCTTGGGGCAGAGTTGTCATCCTGCAGTGTTAATTAGTCAGGGATGATTCATTGATTTATAAACTGTGTAAATCAGTTGTGGCTGCTCCGGGAGTAAAACTCTTCCATGCCACTTTTTTAGGGAAATGTTCAGAAATATTGGATTTTGAGACGCAGTTTGAGGCATCCAGCTTTAACTGACAAATTTGAACGCCCATGAGCTGTCGTAGTTCCCATCTGTCTTTTGTTGGAAGCAGAGGTGAAGCTTTGAAGCCCCTTCCCCTGTGCTCTGGCTGGGATTTGCAGCTCACAGGAGCACGAGGCGGAGCATCTCCTGCTGCCCACAGTGCCCGGGTTACATAAAGCCACTTGCATAACCTCTGTGTGTGCAGTCAGCTCTGTGCCAGATGAGGGTTCTATGGGGTTTGCGCCACGCTCACACTCTGTCTCAAGTTGCACTTCAGTTCCTTTCACGCCATATTCAGGCTCTGTGCTCAGCCCTGTGTTCCCAGCACCTCGCAGCCAGCATCCTTCCCACTGTGACACTGCACAGCTTGGCTCATCCAACAGCCCAGGGCTCTTAACCTCACCTCCTGGCCAGCACTGGGGGAGGCATTTCTGTTTCCACTGCTTAAAGCTCAGAGAGCTGCAGAGTGGGGACTTGGGGAGGTGGATTCCTCTTGGCAGAGGGGAGGGAATGGCTGTTAGGCACGAGGGAAGAAACTTTTCTCCCCAGAGTTCTCTCTCCAGGGTGCGTACTCTTAATTACTGCAGAGTAATTACAAGTGGATGGGATCCAAGGCCCTGCAAAATGATCTCCAGTCGGTGACTTCACTTGGGCTGGGTTTCATTCAATGCTGATCCTACACTGAGAACAGCAGAAGACAGAGCAGGCTTCTGTTGGATTGGGGTTTGTTTCTTTCCAACCTCCACAACCTGAAGCTTCAGCAGCGTTTGCAAGCAGAGTTAAAAGCCTTTGCAACCCCTTTTGGTGAAAGGGGGATCAGTTCCTTTTCCCAGGGGGGGCACTGCAGCCATCCTCAAAATCAGCATCCAAACCTCAGCATCCTTCGTGGGAGAGCATCTCTGCAGAGGAAAAGGGCAGTTCTGCTTCTCCAGGGCTCACGCTCCCCAGGCTGACATCAGCTCCTTTGCTCAGGTTCACTTCCCAGCATGAATGAAGTGCTGGAACGGGACTCTGGGGGCTCAGACCCCATCCTGGGGGAAGGATGAGTCCATCTGTGAGAAACGATCACACGGATGACAAATGCTGCCCATGAAATATTAATGCTTAATAAAGCCTTGCCGGATGAGGCATGCATTGTAATGATGCCACCCATCATGGGGGAGTTAATTGAATCAATGAGGTGAGCAGTGGAGCCGGCCAGCATATGCTGGGGTTTGATCAGCCCAGTCATTACCAAGGACCCTTGTCACTCAGCGCCGCGGTGCCTGCAGGGGATTTGATGAGAGGCAGCCAATGGGGGGCCGGGCCAGCTCCAAATCCAGCTTTTTGCAAAGCCCCAGATAAAACAGCCTTCCATTAATAAGGCGAGAAAGGTTAGGACGAGAGGCATTACGGCAAATCTGGAGAGGTAAGGTGATAGTTTCGTCTGAGGCTTGTAGAACATATGGCCTCAGCTTTTGTAACCCGAGAGCTGTTAGTCTGGAAGTGGGGCACTATTTGCATATCTGCAGAAGTAGAGGTTTATTTACTGGTGTTCAAAAATGAGCTAGTTGGGGACTCTAGGCAGTAATTGGGAGGGTGAGAGCTTCTCTGTGTCGTCACGGGCAGCGCATTCGTTCTGAGTGATAACTGTGTTGTTGGGAAGGGAGGCTTTGAAAAATCAGTGCAGTTCACTGGCTTGGTTTTGGCTCTGGGTTGTGAAGTGCAGGTAGAGATTGGTGGTCAGGAGCTGGCGTGGAGCTTGCTGATTTTGGACTTGGGTTGTTGAAGAAGAGCAAAGCTTTTGGAGGCTGCTTTGGCATAAAGCTCAGGTCTGGGTACAGAAATGGAAATGGAACAAATAATTGAATTAATTTAGCAAAAGCAAAGGAGAGGTAAAAAAGCTAAAGCTGGAGATGGTGAAGCCGAACAAAAGGCGCAGCTGTCCTTCACCTTAAACTTCAAAGATCTATGGCTACACAGAAAAAAAAAAATGCAGTGAGCCTTTTAAAGGGTTTGTTTCTGGCAGCATAGGCTAAAGCTTTTCCTAGACAGCACTAATCTGCTCTGCAAACCACCTTGCATGGATGCGACGTCTGCACCTCCAGCCCCATCCCCTGCTGCTCTCCCTCTCCTTCCCATCCCCTCCCTGAAGTGGCAGCTGTTGGAAAGTATCGCCCATTTGTTTTATGGCACAGCTTTGGGAATGTGATCCAGATCCTACCTAAAGAGAAAGCAGCGGAGCAAAAGAAGACGGGAATGTAGAAGCTCTGGAAAAAAATGACTTGAGTTTTTCAAGCCTAACATGGGAAGCAGGATAAATTTCAGGGATAAAGCAGAACTGCTGCTAATGTTCTTAGCGTGGGAATCAAAGAGATTGCTGCCTTCCTGGAAATAAGTTTGGTGTTGGTTCGATGTTACTTCCATAATTTCAAGTACGTTGACATTTCTTTGTCCTCCACTGAGAAGTGCCTGTAACGAGAGAGTTCAGCTCTGAATAGGCATTATGTAGTAATGTGTGATCCTCACTAGGATTTCATTTACTGTAGCACTTTGGGTATAGAAACAGTTCTCAGGGGAAGGCGCAGTCTCATTATTCCCACTCCTGATTTCCGTTTGTTCGCTGCACAGTGCAGAGCAAACAAAAGCAGCAGTGAAGGCTCCAGCTGCAGGCAGCCCGGCTGCTCCCAGCCCTGCGCCTTGGGGCTCTGCCAGGCGATTCCTGCCATCTCCAACTATTTGTTTTTGTTGTCAGGTCACAACACCCCGCTTCTCCTGTCAGCTTCTCTTGTTTCTAGAGGGTCTGACTTATTTTTAAACTGTTTCAAATCCCTGGAGAATTTGAGACGTATCCGATGGCCGTTCCTTGCGGTGTTTGGATGAGGGGAGGGGAGGGAGCTCTGCTGCTTTTTGGGGCTCCCAGACACTGACAAGTGCCTGCTTCTTCCCCGCAGCTGTCCATGAAGGAGGTGGGCGACGGGCTGCACCAGCAGATGAACTGCATGATGGGCGCACTGCAGGAGCTAAAGCTGCTCCAGGTCCAGGCAGCTTTGGAGCAGTTGGAGATCTCAGGGGGCCGAGGTCCCATCCCTGAGCAGCACCTGCACTGTCAGGGCGGCACAGCGGGGCTGGAGGAGCGGCCGCGGAGCCGAGCAGAAGCTGGGGGCTGCAGCCCTTCATCCCTCACCTGCTCTGTGCCACAGCCAGCATTGCCCCGTCCCACCTCGATCCCAGAGAGCAGCCGCCTCGGAGACATCATCCCCTCTTCCTCCTCCTCTTCCTCCTCCTGCGGCCAGGACAGCTCCCGCTCCAAGGGACCTTCCCCAGCTCCAGCCAGAGCAGAGCGTGCACATCCCAGGACATCTGAATGCAGCAGCCAAGGCACGGCTGGGGGATGGACGGTGTGTGATGAAAGCCATGATTGGACATCCTCCCTCATGTCCCAGAGCAGAAACAGGCAGCCTCTGGTCCTGGGAGATAACATCTTCGCAGACCTGGTTGGGAACTGGTTGGACCTGCCAGAGCTGGACAAGAAGGGGGAGAAGAGTGAAGCATCGCTGTCTGCTGGCAGGTCCCAGGAGCTCTGCAGGAAGTTCTCCCTCACAGCCAACATTTTCAAGAAGTTCCTGAGGAGCGTTCGGCCAGACCGGGATCGGCTTCTCAAGGAGAAACCTTGCTGGCTGCCACCTGAAGACAAGCAGCCCGAGATTTCCAAGAGACCCAAAAAGACAAACAAACTCAAGGGGACCTTTTACTTCCCTCTTCATGGGAACATCCAGAACCATCACAGCAAAGCAGAGAGGTGCCCAAAAGTGGAAAGCCATATCGAGAAACCTAAAATGGGCACCAAGAAAGTCCACGACACCATAGACTACACCCAGTCTGGGTTTGATATCAATACAGCTGTTTGGGTCTGAGTTGGTCGGTGGCTTCTCCAAGCATCTTCCAAAGCAGGGACTGAGGCCACGCGCTGTGCCCTGCCAGGACCGAGCAGGCAGAGCTCCCCATGGAGTGAGCTTTGGCTTTGGCCATCAGCACATGGCATCTCTGCTGGCTCAGCCCCTTGAAAGCCCTCGGGGGCTGTTTGTGAAAACCATCCGCTTCTTTGGCAGCTTTTGGGTTGAGCCAGCTCCCAGAGCCTGCCTCAATGACAGCAGATTCGGGTCACCTCTGGTTGAAACAGCAGCAGGATAAAGTTCACTGTGTGCGTGTGTGTGTATGAGTGTGCAAATATACATATAATTTTTTAAGAAAAATCTTCTCCTGCTTGAGTGCACTTAAAACTGGGTTCTGAGCCTGGCGATTTCAACAGTGACCCCAAAGGACTTCTTTGAAAGGAAGGAAAATTCTGAATTCAGAAGACAGCCATACTCAGACAGTCGCCCGTTGCAGGTGTTGGATCCCAGCTCTGCTGCGTTTCAGCTGTTTTTTCCACCCAAACTGCATCTCTGCTGTACCTGCAGCACTCTCCTTCCCCTGCAGACGGAGCAGCAGGATGAGATCCATGCTCAGCTGTGACATTGGCCCGTTTCAGCAGCTTTGCCTCTTTCCCCACACTCTTCTCCCAGGGGTCACATCGAGACACAACACAACGTTGCCACGGATGTTTCTTGTTATCGTTGCACTGTGACACAATTTTGCAAGAGACCTTTGTTATCGTTTTGTTTCTTATGCTGTGGTGTACAAACCCTGTCCTGAAAGAACCAAGTTCTTCAGCATCCCGCTCTCCAAGAGCAACCAATAAAGCAGCATCATCCCTACACGGAGCGCTCCGTGTGTCGTGGTGTCAGTGTCCAAACCATGCATGTCAGCCTCAGCCCCCAGACCCAAACCCCAGCATGGAAGCTGAGGTCATGCACGTCTCTGCTGGCCCCATCCCACTGGGGACACATCCTGAGGGCTCAGCACACAGCTGAGTTCTGTGGTGTTGGGTTGCAAAAACCTGTTCTGCTCACTCCAAGTTTAAGAGTGGGAGCAGCAGTGTTTGGTTTTTCAAACACGCAGCTCTTTCAGCCTCCCTGGACACACAGGCTGGTGGAGCAGAGGCATGGAGAGAGAAATATTTTCTCCCCTCAGAAATTAAATATAGGCACAAGGCAAGCCCTGCTTCTGCCCATACAAGGAGAGAAGAGCGGGTCAGCATCTGCCAGCGCTGCTCAGCACTTTTTCAGGAACCTGAGTTGCAAGCAGCTTTTGTTTTCCTTCCTCACGGGCTTTAGGTCTGATTGTTTTGTCTCACATTTCTCTGAATGCTGAAAAGCTGTTTTTGCAGTGTTTTATTTATCAGCAATCCATCCTGTTTGTTACATATGCTCCCCCCAGTCCCCACCGGTCCTTTCCCACCAGCAAAGAGAAGGAGCTTTCTATAAGCAGCAGCAACACCGAACAGCAGAATGCAGCACAACAGCTCTTTCCAGAACCAAGAACCGAATTCCCCCCTTTCCTTGGCTGTGCAGCACTGCTCCTGCTGCATCTGTGCCCCTCTCTGATCCCTGGGTGTACCTCCAAAGGGTATTTTGTGTTGCAGTAGGATTTTCTGGGGTGTTTACAGGGACAAGCTGAGTGTGATCCAGGCTTCAAACAGCCGCTTGAAAATCGTGAGTCAGTGTAGTTGCATCTCCACGTTCTTGGGAGAGAAATATAGATATATTTAATTAATATTCCTTAAGAGGCATTCAGACAATAAGGACTATCAGCCGAGCCAGACGCCCTACCCCTTTTTGTCTCTGGAGCAGGATTTGCTAATAGATGTGGGGGGGATTTGTGAATTACCATTTCACTTCTCCAGGGACTTTTCCTGAAATGATAATGGCTTTTTCTCCTCTTTTTTCATGAAACTGCCATGAAATAGCTCCCCGTTATTAAGTATGAGACCTACCTAATTAGCACGATGACAGTCTTTAATGAGGTCCTAGCCGTGTTCTGCATCTTTGATAGGTGCGATTAATACCAAACCCTGTGCAATAATTACAGAACCACCTTCCCCCATGAACCTGCCCTGTGGAAGGCAGCACTCGAAAATGAACCTCAAGAGTTTGGATTGATTAGAAATCTCAATTCTTGGGGTGTGCGAAGCCCAGAGAGGATCAGACGTGCTGGAGTTAATTTGACACCAATAACATTCATTCAGACACGGGGGGTTAATGAGGCAGTGTGAAAGATGGTCCTGGTCCTGTGCTCACTGGTGGCAGCAGCAGCACTGCTCAGCACTGCCCACTGATGCTCAGCACTGCCCATTGATGCCCATTGACCCCCATTAGTGCCCAGCACTACCTACCACTGCTCAGCACTGCCCATTGATGCCCAGCACTGCCCATTGATGCCCAGCACTGCCCATTGACCCCATTAGTGCCCAGCACTACCTATCACTGCTCAGCACTATCCATTGATGCCCATTGCTGCCCAGCACTACCCAGCACTGCCTACTGATGCCCATTGACTCTCATTGATGCCCATTGCTACCCAGCACTGCCCATCACTGCCCATTTCATAGAATCATGGAATCACAGAATGGCCTGGGTTGCAAAGGAGCACAATGCTCATCTGGTTCCAACCCCCTGCTGTGTGCAGGGTCACCAACCAGCAGACCAGGCTGCCCAGAGCCACATCCAGCCTGGCCTTGAATGCCTCCAGTAATGAGGCATCCACAACCTCCTTGGGCAACCTGTTCTTCTCCCCATTGCTGCTCAACATTTCCCATTGCTGCTCATCACTGCCCATTGCTGCCTGTGCCATGGGCCCAGGGCAGTGCTGTGTCTGTCCCATATCACTGTGTGCTCTCCCATCTGGTGCCCTGATTCCCAGGGCTGCTCCTCACTCTGCCTCCATGCTCTCCCATCCCAGGCAGCACCGATGCTCGCAGCGTGCTTCCCTCAGTCAGATGGCCTCCAGAAGGCTCACAAATGTGCCTGTAATTAAAAAGCCTCTGTTTTCAAAAGCGTTTCACAGCTTGTTGTCTGACAAGAGGGTGGGCTGATGCTGAGCAAGAGGAAGGCAAACACAGGCATTGCCTTCTCGCTCCCCCCATTGCCCCTGATGGTCACACTGCTGCACTGCTGTGTCCCACCAACCAGGCAGGCTCCTGAGTGCAAACTTAACAATTTCCCCTCAGTTCCCCTTATATTGAGTCCGGAATAAGGAAAGAAACCAATTGTCATATCCGGATCCTTCACAGCCCAGTGCTGCTCTGTTCATTCCAACACATTCCCCACCACCTTCATTGAGTTGCTGACCACCAGCAGAATCCTTTCTCCCCCTTTAAGCTCCCAAGAACTGAACCATGCTTTAACACCCATGTCTCCGCAGATGAGGGTATGTTTATCTTCCCTTTTGTTTATTGTACCCACGTGGCATTTCTAATCAAGTGCAGAGCCCTCTCCAGCTGGCGGGCAGCCTGGGCTGGTCTCACAGAACACATACAAACCACTTTCTGGCACCAATTTCCCTCAGCTGGGAGCTGTGCCATCCCTGCTCAGCTGCAGGGGACGGGGCTTTGCCCTTGGATTAACCTGGGGATGGCTCCTCTGCCCTTTCCTGTCCCTTCCTGCAGCTTTTGTGGTTCTCTGCCCTGCTGTGAGAAACACCTGCTTGGGTTTCTTGGCCTTCATCAAGCTGGAGAGCAGACAGGAGAAATCAATCCCCAGGCAGAAAAGCAGAGGCTGAAGGGCAGCTCAGAACCACAACTCCCAGTGCTGCGTGTGCCGGACCCCAGCGTGGGCACTGGTCCCATTAGCAGCCAGAGCAGCCGTGTGAGATGGGTCCTCCCTGCGCTCACACCGCCGGGTTGGTGCTGGCAGGTGACATTTGGAACCCAGAGCTAACGAACGTGACGTGCTGTCAGTTTTAATTAATCCCTTTGCTCTGCCTGTGACAGGTGAAAGCTGGAGCTGGGGCTCTGGAGGATGCATGGAGAGAGGAGTGCCAGGGAGCCGGCAGTGCACAGCAGAGCGGTGCCTTCCTTCTCCAAAGGGCCACTCCATCCCACAGCACTATTTCTGTCCTCTCCCATCTATAGCAAGCTGCTGGGTCTGAAGGCACAGAGCACTGCCTGTGCGCCTCAGGAGGAGCATTGCAGAACGCTTTCACATCTGCTCCAGACAGAGGACGTTGCAGCAGCCCCGTCTGAAGGCAGAATTGAGGTCCCGGGTCACTCCCAGCTCAGTGACAGCAGTGTTGGCTGCGGTGATGGCAGTGGTGCTGTGCAGCTGCAGCTCCCCCCGCTGCCTGCACCAGCCCTCCCCATCCTCCTCTTTTCATTCCGTTCCAGCCCGATTAGAGGAGGTTGCACCCGGAGGCAGCTCGCCAGGCGTTTATGCATGCAGCTGCCTGAGCTGAATGCACGCATGTTAATGTGTGGAAATGAGTCGGGGCCACTTTTGTACCAAGTTTTCTGCTCCCTGGATCGAGCACACCGGGTCTTCTGAAGCAAAAAAGAATTCAGGAGAGGACCTTTGTGCTTACTGCTCACCCTGTCTCTTAACATTGCCCAGATACCAGTGCTGCTGTTGGGCAGATAGCAGAGCTTCTCACAGAAGCAGCACCATGCATTGTTGTGCACACCCCTCTATTTCCCTTTGCTCAGCTGCTGCTGCTCCACGACTTCTCAAGCTTGTGGGGAAAGCCATCACCCCCCAACCCTGCAGCCAGAATGACCACTGCCACCCAGATGAGCAGCCAGCATGCAGCTCAGAGCAGTGCAGAAGCCAACTGCTGCCAGGCCCTGGCTGGGGCTGCTGCTCCTGTGCCATGCGCTGCTGCTGAGCAGCTGCTCTGCCCCTGCTGTCCACGCTTCGGTCTCCTGGGACCAACCTGTCATTGCTGCAGCATGTCAAAGGTATGCTTCCCTATATCTCTACCAGAGGGGATTATGTTCCCAGCGGGGGCTCGGGTTCTTTTTTTTTTTGCCATCGTATGATTTAATGTGACAACTGTAATTTGATGTGACGCGTCTTTGCAACAATTCGCTACCTCGGAAAATCACAAACAAGCTTAAAATAAGAACAGAACGCATGGACTCACATCTCCCCGTGTGCTGCAGCTGGAAAAATAAGCACCGACTTGAGGATTTCTCTGTGCTTCCTTTGGGAGAGAGCGAAGTCATGGACATGATGCTGTAAAATAATAATGTGGATCCCAGCCCTGCAGTGAGAGCTGTCTGGCAGGATGCCTGCACCTTCCCAGAGCCCCTTGGAGTTCAGAGCAGCCATAAGGAGCAAAGATCTTTGTGTATCTCCTAATGGGCTGAGGCTTCAGTCCCTGCCCTGAACCAAGCAGGATTAGGACAAAACAGACTCGTAGCACTCAGCATCTTATGCCATCTAGCTGAAATTAAGAGAGCAGAGTAAACCTACAGTGGCTTTGGAATTGAAGATGTACATTTACTGAGCCCTCTGGTTCCAAACACTATTGCTGACACTAATTAATCCTGGCATACCCACTAATTGGCTGTCCCAGCCGCTCCTAAGGTAAAGGTGAGGAGCTCTGCACTGGGACAGCCCCAGTCCTGGGGATGGGGATGGGGAGAAGGGGCTGCAGCTGCAGGCAGGGGAGCGGTGAAGTGTTTCCAGCACCTCTGGGCTTTGCCCTCTCTGCAGTGCTATGGGATGTGGACATGATGGGTAAATCCCCATGTCTGCACAGTGCAGATGGCCAGTGACCAAACCGTGCTCCCCTATGGGATCCCCAGTGCTGACCCCATGGAATCCCACACCATTAGAGCAGAGCTGGGCACGGCCCCACACGGTGCCCCCACCCTTCCTTGGGCACAGACAGTGAGGAGAGGGTTA